CATTTTCTTTTATTTCAGGTATCTGATACTGTTGTGGAACCTTACAACGCTACCCTCTCAGTTCATCAACTGGTAGAAAATACAGACGAGACTTACTGTATTGATAATGAGGCTCTATACGATATCTGTTTCCGTACCCTCAAACTGACCACACCCACTTACGGTGACCTCAACCATCTAGTATCAGCCACCATGTCTGGAGTGACCACATGTCTCCGATTCCCTGGTCAACTCAACGCCGATCTCAGAAAGCTAGCTGTCAACATGGTACCTTTCCCACGTCTTCATTTCTTTATGCCAGGATTCGCTCCTCTCACCTCTCGAGGTTCCCAGCAATACCGAGCGCTCACTGTACCCGAACTCACACAACAGATGTTCGATGCCAAGAACATGATGGCTGCCTGTGATCCTCGTCATGGTCGTTATCTGACAGTAGCTACCATGTTCAGAGGTCGTATGTCCATGAAGGAGGTAGATGAACAGATGTTGAATGTTCAGAATAAGAACAGCAGCTACTTTGTTGAGTGGATTCCCAACAATGTTAAAACTGCTGTTTGTGACATTCCACCAAGAGGTCTGAAGATGTCTGGAACATTTATTGGTAATACGACAGCCATCCAGGAACTGTTTAAGAGAATCTCTGAACAGTTTACAGCTATGTTCAGAAGAAAGGCTTTCCTCCATTGGTATACTGGTGAAGGTATGGATGAGATGGAATTTACTGAAGCTGAATCCAACATGAATGATCTGGTATCTGAATATCAACAGTACCAGGATGCTACAGCTGAAGAGGAGGGAGAATTTGATGAAGAAGAAGGTGAACAAGATGAAGCTTAAACAAAACGTAAAATTTAATCTATGTATACAAACAGTATATCTATATATTTATTTCAAAACTTATTGTTGATATTTGCTTAGTACATGGAATTTTTCGTTCTGCTCTCAGTACATCAAAAGACTTTGAAAAAATCTGATTCATATTTTACTGTTAACCAGAGCCATATATTGAGAGAGTTTGGCCAACTGCAAAATGACCGCCATATTTGCTATCAAAGGACCAACGCGACGTGATTCGCTTATACATAATAAGTCAGACAGAGACTTATTCGGGTTTATTCAACTAAATTTTATTTGGGATTTTTTTTCTTTTGAATATATTGCAATTAACCATTTTACAAAACAAACGTAAATTTATGCATTCACTTTGAAGACTTTCTCAATATATGACTGCTGTTCACGATTTCAGTTTGGTTTGGAACAAATTTAGCCGGATATCATCAACTATAGTTCAATGTGAGCCAATGTACCTCCAATTGTTCTCCCACTTTATTTCTCGTATAATTAAAAATATTATTTTTATAAGTTTTTGCAGCAAAATATGTGTCAGAATGCATCAAATCAATTATGTTTTTCAAAAATATTTTATTGGAGAATTTTCTAAAACGATCTATGGAAGGATAGCGCCTATTCAC